AGATCTTCAATTTTGTAATTTTTTGAGAATTTTTAAAATAGTTGAATTTTTCGATTAGTTGGGGTGGCCGACCGCCACCCACGGCGGCGCGTGGCCTGTGGGCCAATGATGTCTTTTTAAGCACTATTAGATGCCCTGGGTTCATGTTTGATATCCGTATGACGTAATTTGATTGTTTGGACTTAGTTTCATTTTGATACGTGAATAAGTCAAAATAGAAATCGACGATCCGACTGTTGAATCGTCACCAAACTTTAATATGTTATAGTACGTAATATTTTGGGATCATAAGAACTTACAGATCGGGAATCTGATGTACGGATCTTCATGAATTAGATTTCTAAGTTAGTAAAATTAATTGTTAACCGCCACCTAATTCTAGCAATGGGCGGAGATCTGACCGTTGGATTGCGATGAGATTTTAGTACGTTGTTCTTTGAGAATAATGTGGACCCTAGGAAGTTACGGATCTTGATTATGATGTTCGGATCTTCTGGATCAAATTTTGTAGCGTTGTGGATCCTACTGTCGACCAAGAATTGGCTTTTGGTCAACATGTCTCGAAACGTTCTAAATACTAAAATTAGTACTACGGGGAACTAAGTGAAACCTAGTGGGACCACATTGGTTTGAGAGTGACTTGAATATATGTGATATAGCTATTACCTTGATTTCTTATATTAATATCATATGTGAATAAGATATAGGTTATAAATGAAATTCTATTGAAATGTGAAACACAACACACACACACACACACACACCATAGACCTATGTTTATTGAATGTGAATTCTATTGAAGTGTTATTTTTATTTCTGGCCATCGATCTATTTTCATTAAGTATGATTTTACTTGTGTTTTGGAAATATGGTTTGTAATGTATGATTGGATTGATGTGATGAAATGTGAGGGCTAGTAGTGGACCGTTAACCTACTGTCATGGGGTTTGTAATGTATGATTGGATTGATCTATTTTCATTCAGCCATTCTAAATTAAGTACTTGGTTCTTGTATTGTTTCTGCAAGCCGTTGTTGTATCCCTTGATCTTCCACTCTATTTCATTGAGTGATGGTCCGAAATCGTATCCTGATTCGGATTTCGTTGAGTGATGGTCCGGAATCCCTTCGATTCTGCGATTCTGTTGAGTGATGGTCCGGAATCGTACCCTGACTCGGATTCCGTTGAGTGATGGTTCGAAATCCCTTCTATTCTGTGATTCCGTTGAGTGATGGTTCAGAATCGTGTCCAGCTTGTATTCCATGGGTGGTTCTATATGCATGGTACTCCCCGGTTCCGTTAAGTGATGATCCTGAATCGTATCCAGCTTGTATTACATTGGGTGGTTCTATATGCATGGTACTCCCCGGTTCCGTTGAGTGATGGTTTGGAATCCTTACTACTCCACGATTCCGTTGAGTGATGGTCCGGAATCGTATCTTGAGTTTGATTCCGTTGAGTGGTCCAGAATCCCTTTGGTGACTTGGTTCATTGGATTTGATTTCAGCTTCAGAGATGTAGGCTTCAGCCGAACTGCGTCGTTCTAGCCTTGCATGTCAGTGTGTTGTATGTGTTATTATTTGGTGTGATTGTTGGATGTAATTGTTATGATTATGATATACCGCTGACCAATATGGCTATAGATTATTATTGCACCTCGTCGATTGTTCCTTGAGATGTTGCATGCTCTGAATTGTGCATTATGTTGAAATATGGCAATTTATGTGATAAATATTCGAGTGTAGTGAAAAGTTGAACTACGAATGACTTGATCCCTATTGAGGGTACGTAGGCAGTCTAACGAAGAGGTTAGATGCAGCCATAAAGTATACACAAAATTATTATGCATCTGGATCTGGAATTATATTTTGTACATATCCAAAAGGCAGGGTACGTTGAGTTACGGGCATTTAGTGACGTCACGTGTCGATCTTTGGACGTATGTCTGGATCGGGGTGTGACAGCGAGGGGAGAAGGGAGAGAAGGGATGATTTTTTTTATAACTTTTATTTAATTAATTATTTTAATATTTTTTAATGACACTTGGGGCCTAGTCATTGTCCACATGGGCGCTATGTCATCACTTAACGGGAGAACTAACAGTTTGACTAACAGATATACGAGACTGTCCCAAAATTAACACTTTAGGTATGACTGGGATGAAAAAAACTTGATGTACTATATGTTGAAAACCACGAAACATGAGGGTAGTAAACAGAGTTTAACCCTAGATTTAAATGTAAAAATCAGAGGTAGGAAATGAGCACTGCATTACAATGTCTGAATCTGAATGTAAAAATCAGGAGTCGCGTGAAAGTGTGAAGTGTAGAAGACGTGTGGATGATGAAAAAAATAGGACTAGGAAACATACATTGCAATGCAGCGTTTGAATCCAAAAGGGAAAACCAAAACCAAGAAACAGACACTGCATTGCATTGTCTAAATCCAAATGTACAAAGGAACATGTAGGAGGCGTGTGACTGATGGAAAAAACGAAACCAATAAATGGACACTACAACACAGTGTCTGAATCCAAATGTAAAAAAATAGAATCAGAAAACAGACAATACATTGCAGTATTTGATTCGTATGACTCATTCCAAATATAAAAATTATGAGAAAGAAAATGTTAATTGAAGTGCGTGCCAACTGTAGTGGCAGATTTTGTAATTTTATTTTATTTTAAATGAATTTAAGTATCACATACATAGTTGACCTATTTATAATTAACATAAATATTGTTGATCTATTGTTTCGCTTCACGTTCTATTTTGATTATATATTTTTTTGAACAAACGATCTATCTACACTAAGGGGGAGGAGGGTGGGTTAGGCCTCATAATGGACTAGCAATAATATGGTTCAAATTCACTTTTGTGAGAATCGAACCTAAGACTTTTTACTTATAAATGAAGATGAATACCACAAAATCACCTATAATAAAATGCGCCTAATATATATGATGACACATACAAAATTAATTAGCTACATAATAAATTAATGTTGTTTGATTTAAAATTAATTTACTTACAAAATAAAGTAATGTTATTTGATTCAAAATTAGCTTATTTCCATTGAATCCGGATCATTTACGAATATTTCCATTGAATCCGGATCCTTTTTGGATTCTCCTTGTGAGGATCTTGGAGATCTATGAATTGTATTCGTTCATAGTATATCGTGCGGTAAAATTTTATTTTAAATTTTTTTATTTAAAATTAAACACAAATACTATTTAATAAAAACTGATCCCACAATATACGATAAATGGATACGATTCATAAATATCCCAAATCCTCACAACAAGTCGAAGAAGATTCTGTTGGATTTCCATCAATAGTGAATTACAACATAACACTTCTTGTATAGCAACTGAGTCCTATACCAGCTGTGGAAAATAGGCCGGCCACTAGGGGTGCGTTTGTTGCACCGGACTATCTCGGACTGGACTAGGTTCAGGGACTAAGCTGGACTGGCTTGGACTAGACTAAGCATGACTAACTTAGTGAAGCGTTTGGTGCAGTACCGGACTAAATTATTTTTAAAATTCAGATATTTTTCTTTTGTTCATTTTAATTCTTTCTCCCTTATCTCTACCGTTCCTTTCCCTTCCCAACAAACAAAACTTTCCCAATTTTTCTCCAGTTCTCAGATGAAGAAAATCTGCCTTTACGATTTTGGTCAAATCCCAAAAACAAAACACCAATCAAGTTCATCTCGCAGTGTGCCGCCTTCTGAGGAAATGCATGACTGAATATGATCTTGGCTTGTGTTTGAATTTGTCGTCCGTCAAAGTGAAAAACAAAAAATTCTGAGATTGGAAGGAGCAAAGATGGATCCAGTCCGTGTGTTACGAGACGAGGAGGAGGTAGGCTCCACTCATCTCTCTACTCTCTTCCGTTCGAATTTTTATTGACTTTTTTGCTCTGATTACACTTGTTCTTGCAAATTAGCTGCTTTAATTCACTTGTTCTTCCATGGGTGGGGATTGGAGTTGCAGACGGCAAGGGGGTGGGTGGAGGAAGACGAGTCGTCGTCAGAGATGGTGCAGTCGTGCAGGACGAGCACGAGGACGCGGCGTGAGAGGGAAGACGAGGAAACGGGACTAGCAATCCCCTCCTTTTCGGGGGCTCTCGCTAAGCCCAGCTAACGAAGGATTTAGTCGGCACGAGTCCTACTTAATCCCACTAAACTCAATCTCGGCTTGCACCAAACAAGGGTTATTAGTCCTAGCTAGTCCAGTCCTAGCTAAGGACGTCAAACAAACGAGGCCTAGGAGTCTAGTAGCTATCTGCCAAAAGAAGACAAAGAGACAGCTGTCCACCCAGCAAAGAAACGGAGATAGCTTTCAGTGATTTAGTTACGTATTTGTAAGTAAGTAATAAGCTTAATTTGATTAATAATTTTTTTAGTGGTAAGGTAAGGTAGTGAGAAGATAGTTGAATTAGGATTTAAGCTCATGTGATGAAGTTTATTAAGATTTATGCTTAAAATTGAAAATTTTATCAACATTCCGTTAATTATTAGTACGTAAGCCACACATTTTAGGTTAAAATGAAACTCTCCATTAATTGTTAGCACGTGAAGATTACATTTTATTATTTTATTTCATTTGTGAGCTTCGTGTGCTAATAATTAACGAAGTTAATAAAATTTTCAATTTTGAATCTAAATTCTAACAGATTTCACCGCGTACATTTAAATTATAATTTTTTTAATTTTTCAACTATCGTATCACAAGTTCACAACAAAAACTTATAATCCAATACGACCTAAATAATACGACCTATTATTAAGCTTGGCTTTAATAATGATTAAATCGCATGCCGGAAGATTGAGTGAGAAGAAAAGGAGATACCATCATTCCTCTAAACTACTTTTCTCAATTAAATATATTAAATTAAGAGGTTGTTGGATAGGCAAGTGTATATTCAATTTTCCACTTTGACCCTTTTCTTCGCATTTGCTTCGGTTAAAAAATCAAAAGGATAAGATTCCTTTCACACCGAAATTTCCCCGAAGAAGATGTGAAAAAACATAAAGCATAATTTCACTTTCCCCTTTTTCCCTTTTGCATTGACTCATTGACTTGGTATCGATCAGACTAATTTCCGGTGATCCAATTTGTAGATCTATTGAGTATCTCTGTACTTACAATTCTCTTAGTCTTAGCTGCTCGATCGTCGCTGACCAGGTGCGATCGATTAATAATGGCTGCTTCTTCTTCTTCATCTTCTTCTGGCCTTGGTTGCAAATACGATGTGTTCATCAATTTCAGAGGGGAAGACACTCGCAGGGGCTTCGTCAGCCATCTCTACAACGCTCTGGTTAAGAAACCAATCAACGCCTTCATTGATGCCGAGAAGCTCAGAAAAGGCGACCACCTTTCTGAGCTCCTGACAGCGATTCGAGAGTCAAGGCTTTCGATTGTAGTTTTCTCTCAAGACTATGCTTCTTCCACTTGGTGCTTGAAAGAACTCGTGCAAATCTTGAAATGCAAGGATACCAATAACCAGATTGTACTCCCCATTTTCTATGAAGTTGATCCGTCTGACGTTCGTAAACTCAAGAGAAAATTCGAGGAAGCTTTTGCTCAGCACGATCGTGATTCTAACGCTGAAATGGAAGAGGTTCAGAGCTGGAGATCCGCTCTTACAACTGCCACCAGTTTATCCGGCTGGGATTCGCGAAAATATGAGTAAATTCTAATTTGTTTTAGTTTCCTATTAATTTTTGGGATTTTTGTAACGTTTTGCGGTAATTTTATAAATATCTAGTTTTTAGTTTTAATTTCTGTTTTTTTTTTTAACTAACAGATGAAAAAACCCATTAATTATTATTTGGTGGTGTTATTATATTGTTTTTTTTAATTTGACAGGAATGATGCAGAGCTTATTGAGGAAATTGTAGAATATGTTTATAGGAAATTGATCGACATCTCATCAACATCAAGCAAAGATAATGGCTTGGTTGACATGGATTCTCACATGCATGAAATGCATTTATTATTATATCCTCCCGGAGGTGAAGCGAATAATGTTCGCGTTGTTGGAATATGGGGTATGGGTGGTTTAGGCAAAACAACCATCGCTAGAGCAGTTTATGATGAAATCGCATGTCGATTTGAAGCTTCTTGCTTTCTTGAAAACGTCAAGGAGGGTTTCATGAAGCATGGCAAACCACATATGCAGACACAACTTCTATCGAGTATATCGAACAACAAGGTGGGGAGTTCTGACATATCAAAATATGGTTTTAAGAAGATGTTAAAAAGACTTGGTCGGAGAAAAGTTCTTATTGTTGTTGATGATGTGGACGAATCAGAACAAATTGAAGCTTTACTTGGAAAGAAACGTTCCTTTGGTGTTGGAAGTAGGATTATTATAACAAGTAGAGATTCGCAGTTACTAAGCATAACTGATGTGATATATAATCCCCGGACTTTGAGTTATTATGGAGCTCTGGAACTCTTTTGGCAGTACGCCTTCAAAAATGACCAACCCAACAGAGATTATTATGATCTCTCGAATCGTGTTGTAGAATATGCTCAAGGTCTGCCTTTAGCCCTCAAAGTCTTGGGAGCTTTTTTGCATAAAAAAACTATACGCGTGTGGGAAGGTGAGTTAGAAAAAATAAGGAAAATCCCACAAAGGGGAGTTCATGATGTGCTTAAAACAAGCTTCGATGGACTAGATGACACACAGAAGGACATCTTTCTAGATATTGCATGTTTCTTTAGAGGGATGAAGGAAGACCAGGCAACTGAAATTCTGGACAGTTGTGGTTTCCATCCTCATACAGGAATAAAAGTTCTAATTGATCGAGCTCTCATAACTGTCTCAACGTTGGGGGTATTGGAGATGCATGATTCATTAGAGGAAATGGGTCGGGAAATTGTCCGCCAAGAATCTAGCAAAGATCCTGGGAGACGAAGTAGGTTGTGGAGTTATGAAGATGTTTGTGAGGTGCTAACTGAAAATACGGTGAGAAATCTTTTTCTTATGCAATTGTTAGTAGAAAGGTTCAACTTTTGATCAAAATCAATTTCTTAGGCCTGTTTGATAACCATTTTTGTTTTCAATTTTTAGTTTTCATTGTTTTAATAATGAAAATTGAAAACAATTAAACAGAAAATGAAATGATTATCAGACGGCTCCTTAAGAAACAATCATTAATTTCATAATCAAAACTAAGGTTCTCTGTATTTTCCTTTACTTTGATTTGCACAGGCTACAAAAACAGTTGAAAGCATAATTGTGGATTTCTCGTACTCAAGCTGGCCATGCTTAAATGCTGAAGCTTTTGTTAGAATGACTCAACTAAGACTTCTCAAGATCAATCATAGGCACATAAATGCTGAAGCTGTTGTTAGAAGGACTCAACGAAGACTTCTCAAGATCATTTATAGGCACTTCGTTTTTAAAGATGAGTGCTGCAAACACCACCTGTTTGGGTCCTTAAAGTTGCTTAACTTGAGATATCTCTCCTGGCTTGGTTTCCCTCTCAAGTCTTTGCCATCCAACTTTCAATTCGAAAATCTTGTTGAACTTGACATGCAATATAGTCTCATTGACCGACTTTGGGAAGGAACCCAGGTACGTACAATCATTTACATGTATTTGTTTCTTTTAAATGTTTGGGCTTTGAGTGAGATGTCTTATTAAGTAATGCATGTTTTCCTGAATGTTTTAACAGACACAGGAAAAGTTGAAATTCATCAATTTAAGTAATTGTCAATCCCTTAAGGAAACCCCTGACTTCACAAATGTGCCAAATCTTGAGAGGCTAATTGTTCGAAGTTGTATAAGCTTAGTTGAGGTTCACCCATCTATTTCGACTCTTTCAAACCTTGTTTTATTGGATCTGCATGGGTGCAATGAACTTATGATTCTACCTACCAAAATTCGTATGAGATCTCTCAAGACCTTTAATCTTTCTGGTTGCTCGAACCTTGAGATGTTTCCAGAGATTTCAGAAGTGATTGAGGGGTTTGAAGAGCTTGATTTATCCGGATCAAGAATTAAAGAACTGCCCCCGTCAATTAATAATCTCACGGGGTTGAGTCATTTGAACCTATCAAATTGCAGGGAACTTAAGATTCTACCTAGCAAAATTCCTATGAGATCTCTCAAAACCTTTAATCTTTCTTACTGCTCCAGTCTTGAGATGTTTCCAGAGATTTCAGAAGGTATGGAGGAGTTAAAAGAGCTTAATTTATCCGGGTTAAAAATTAAAGAACTGCCCCTGTCAATTAATAATCTCTCAGGGTTGAGTCATTTCAACCTAAAAGATTGCAAGGAACTTAAGATTCTACCTAGCAAAATTCGTATGAGATCTCTCAAAACCTTTGATCTTTCTGACTGCTCCAGTCTTGAGATGTTTCCAGAGATTTCAGAAGGTATGGAGGAGTTAGAAGAGCTTAATTTATCCGGGTCAAAAATTAAAGAACTGCCCCTGTTAATTAATAATCTCTCGGGGTTGAGTCATTTCAACCTAAAAGATTGCAAGGAACTTAAGATTCTACCTAGCAAAATTCGTATGAGATCTCTCAAAACCTTTGATCTTTCTGATTGCTCCAGTCTTGAGATGTTTCCAGAGATTTCAGAAGGTATGGAGGAGTTAGAAGAGCTTAATTTATCCGGGTCAAAAATTAAAGAATTGCCCGAGTCAATTAATAATCTCACGGGGTTGAGTCATTTCAACCTAAAAAATTGCAAGGAACTTAAGAGTCTTCCAAGCTGCATTCATATGAAATGTCTGAAAACCTTTAATCTTGATGGCTGCTCCAGTCTAGAGATGTTTCCATCGATTTCAGAAGGTATTGAGGGGTTAGAAAAGCTTGATTTACCCTGCTCAAAAATTAAAGAACTGTCCCCGTCAATTAATAATCTTACGAGGTTGTGTCATTTGAATCTACAAGGTTGCAAGGAACTTAAGAGTCTTCCAAGCAGCATTCGTATGAAATCTCTCAAAACCTTTGATCTTAATGGTTGCTGGAGTCTTGAGATGTTTCCAGAGATTTCAGAAGTGATTGAGGGGTTAAAAGTTTTTGAGTTATCCGGGTCGAAAATTAAAGAACTGCCCTCGTCAATTAATAATCTTACGGGATTGAAACATTTGAAGCTAGAAAATTGTAAGGAACTTGAGAGTCTTCCGAGCAGCATTTGTCAGCTCAAGTCCCTTCTCGTTCTCTCTCTTTCCGGTTGTACAAAATTTGAGGTGTTTCCAAGCATTGAAGAAAATATGGAAGGATTAAGATGTCTTTTCTTGGATGGAACATCTATCAAAGAGCTTTCCCCCTGGATTGAACGGCTTACGGGGCTTCGGTATTTAGATCTGAGAAACGGCAAAAGCCTTGTACATCTTCCCAACACTCTCTGTAATTTGGCATGGGTTTTCACAGACACAGAGATCCGTCCTGGCCGGGGTCCCACTCCACCCCCACGTCGATTTCTAGGTATGTACTTTTGATTCGGAATAAAATTTCGAAATTTGGGAAATTTTATTATCTGAATAAAGAAATATTTTTCACGGTTTTGGGTGCTCTTTGCTGATAAACACATGGATACGAAGCTCTGTTTTGGCTTGGGTGCTCGTTGCAGCAGCTTTGATGGAATTGGCGTGGTCAGAGGGCTAGCCACGGCCGCATATTTTGAAATCCCAAGAGGTGGCATTTTCCAAGGAGAGGCACATTACTCCACCGCCGGATTCTTTTGATTTGTGCTAGTGCAGAAACTGTGAAGATATTGGTATGTCAATTCACGTTGTGAACTTGATAATGCCATCGGTGCTCCTCCAATTTGGGTGAAAGGTACATTGCATTTCTTTTAATCATAACATTTCTATATATGCAAATTACAGTGGATGAGCCCTCTGAATTTGTGTATAATGATGGGATTTTCAGTTGCTTGTCGTATGAATCATCAGCAAACTCTGCATTCATCAGTAAAATTGCATAGTTAACAAATACAACGGAGAAGTTACAACTCAAACTGTAAAAGTTTTCCCAATATGTGGACAGATTACTTCGTACATTTTGCTTTGTGATTGCTTCCCTTTACGTTTTTCCGCCAATCTTTGTGCACCATTGATAGTGATGCCAGTTTTAGTTTCATGCTCACATAAAATCTGCCAAAAGTACACATTTGTCAAGATTTTGAATCTTGAAGTCTAGCACACATGCTTTTGCAGGGAAGATGTATGAGATTGGATTGTTTGGAATTAGCAGCCTAAAAGGGCACATCAAGAGGAGGAATAAATAAGAGCCTCAACGAGTTCATCTCCCTCTTTGGGAGAATGTCCCTTGTACCAACTAATGCTAAAGCTGTCGACGCTAGAATTGAATGGTTCTAGTAGTTTCAGGTTACATTTATATATTTCTAGCATCTGTATATGTACTGTTTGGGAGACGTTATCGCCAGGGCCAGCCCTGGTCCAGTGCAAGCAGGGCACCTGTCCAGGGCCGAAATTGTTTTGGGAGCACTTCTTCCTTCGCGAATCGGGACAGAGGTGACCTGAGCCTTTCTTCCGGACCAGTGCCTTGCCCTTCGGTCGCAGCTTTGCTTATCAGCCTCTTGACCTCCGAAATTGCTGCAGAAATCATCCAAAACTCGACTGAATTTTACAGAATCTGTCGCTGTCGTTCACCGCTGCAGTCCTCTGTGCGCAGCTCATTGAGCTTTCTGGGTACTCTTGCTCTGAGCACACAGTGAGTACTATACTAATATTTCACTAAAAAAAAAAATGCCCATTTATCTGTTTAATTGTTAAATTTGTGATTAAAGTGAGTACCTTTGAGATACCCAGATTGTTAAATTCACTGCTGCTTAATTTCCAGATTCAGACGAAAGATGGGTACTTACTGGATTTGAGATGTGAAGGACTAATGGGATTGCTTTGGTGGGGAGTGTTCCCCGTAACTGATACGTGAGTAAAATATTGATTCTCTGGATGCTTGATTAGTGAAAAGCCTTACTTTCATAGCTCCTTCCAATTTTTTCAACATATTGGTCCCACTAAGTTGATTATTTCAAGTTTTGAATGTATAGCTCACTATTTGGTGCCCCCTGATCTGATGTTTTTGTTGAAGTATTAGAATTATTAGGATTCTTCCTCTCGGCAACTCCGTTTTGCTGCGGGGTATAAGCTGCGGTAAGCTGCCTTTTAAACCCATTCATGCTACAGAAATTGTTGAATTCGAGTGAGGTGAACTCCCCACCTCTATCGGTTCTTAAGCAGCAAATCACCTCACCAATCTCCCTTTCCACAAACAACTTATACTTCTTAAACATAGCTAATGCTTCAGATTTTTCAGATAAAAAATATGCCCAGGTTTTTCTACTGTAATCATCAATAAAGGTGATTACGTACCTTTTGCCACTGTTTGATTTCGGTGAGATAGGTCCACAAATATCTGCATGGACCAGTTGAAGCTTCTTAGATGCCCTCCACATGCTTTTCTTCGGTATTGCTTTGCGGTGTTGCTTTCCAACCATACAATCACCACACACTTTTGATGAAACCTTGAGCATCGGCAACCCTCTGACCATGTTCTTATGAAGCAAAGTCCTCAACCCCTTGAAATTTAGATGTCCATACCGGCAATGCCACAATTGTGTGTTGTCTTCGGATGTGGCTTGGAGACAGGTTGAGTTTGGAGAGATCACAGAAGCAAGCACAACAAACATCCTGTTGGTTGACATCTGTGTTTGTATAATTAAGCCTCTTCTTGGATGGTAAATCTTACACATGTCATCCTGGATGAGAATAGCTAACTTCTTTTCTTGAAGCTGGCCAATGCTTAAGAGATTATTTCTTAATTCGGGTATAAAATAAACCTCTGTGATCACCTGAGTTAATCCATTGACATGAAGCTTCACATTTCCTTTTCCCATAACCATCATCCTTGAGTTATCTCCGAGCTTCACCGATTGTCTGAATGTTTGGTCGAGATCAAAGAACCAGTCCTTGTTACCACACATGTGGTTGCTGCAGCCTGAGTCAAGGAACCATACACTCTCCCTCTTTGATTGATTTACCTCCACGTACGCCATTAGAAGCATCTCTTCTTCCTCATCTAATTCTGCGTAATTCGCACCTTTATCCCCACTAGGGCATTCATATTGATAATGCCCTAGTTTCTGGCAATTGTAGCACTGGACCAAGGCTTTGTTGAAAGGTTGTCTACCCCTGCCTTGGCCTCTTCCTCTGAAGCCTCCACGAGCTCTTCCTCTCCCTTCAACTCTGTGCTCATCTCTTCCTCTACTTTGCCCTGAATTGGTGATATTCAAAGCATGTTCCTCTTCCTTCTGTCCTTGCATCCTCTGTTCGTGGACTAACAGGCTACTTTGAAGTTCATCTATAGTCATGATGGATAGGTCATTGGACTCTTCTTTCGAGCAGACGACATAATTGAATTTGAGTCATTGACCTCAAAATTTTCTCAATGATCACAGTCTGCTCCATCCTTTCTCCATGCGCCTTCATCTTATTGGCGATGGTCAATGTCCTGGCAAAATACTCATCGACTTTTTCACCCTCCTTCATGCCAAGAAGCTCAAACTCTCTCCTCAAGGCCTGTAGCTGAGCGCGCTTCACCTTGGTAGAGCCTTGATACTTCAGTCTCATTGAATCCCAGATAGCCTTCGCAGTCTCCTTATTGAGTATGGTCTCAATAATAGTCCTATCTATAGCTTGAAATAGATAGTTCTTGACCTTCAAATCCTTCAGTTTCTGGTCTTCGTTAACCTTTCGTTGTGCCTCTGTTGGCTCTACCCCTTCTGCTGCTGCAGAAATCCCATTCTCTATCAAGCCCCAGTACTCCTTTGATCTGAGGAAGTTCTCCATGAGCATGGCCCAATGATCATAATGACCATCAAACCGTGGAATTGCTGGCTGAACAAAGCTGCTGTTCTCTGTCGCCATGATTCTCTGACTTTTCTCTCTTTTACTAATCTCACTCAATCAGGCCTCAGTTAAGAGGCTCTGATACCAGATGTTGGATCTCAGCGCTAGTTTGCTAGTTTAGGCTGAAAAGCATATGTATTGAATTGCAAAAGCAAAGGCTTTATACAAGCCTGTTACAACGGAAAAGAGAAAAATAAGCTTCACGTTCACAACAAACCCTAAGAACGTGTAAGTGGGTCTAAGACCAATTCAAACAAACAGATTACCCTACAAACCAGGGCATTATTAACAAAATAAGTAATTAACTAAGCAACAAACACGGAAGAATCCTAATAATTCTAATACTTCGACGGTTTTTAGGTTCTGTTGAAATTTCCTTTCTTGAAACGAACTATTGTGTAAATTGATGAACATCCATCGGATACATTTTAAATTAGGCTCTAATGTGCTTCAAACTCAATTGTAATTGGTTTTTGGCTTTTCTTGATCTTGACCAGGTGATGCATGGTTCTTAAATTCTCCAGAAGAATAACTGGGATTCGTCCTTGCAGATGAAGGTTTCGATGTATGGGTAGGGAATGTGTGTCAAACACGTTGGAGTCAGGGACTCGCATCTTTATCAGAAGAGAATAAGATTTATGCTGTACTGTAGGATTTTTGGAATTGGAGTTGGCAGGAATTGGCTCTATTTAATCTACCAGAAATGATGCGCTGCAGATATTCGACAACAAGCTCAGAAGTCTTTGTTGCTGGACATTCACAGGTCTTCGTCTTACACCTCTTCATCTACTTCACATCTCCTTCCCTTGCTGCTACTTCTGGTGTTTACTCAATTTATTCATGTTATTAGGGAACAATCATGTCTTTAGCTGCTCTCATCCAGCCGGATATGGCAGAACTGGATGAAGCTGCCGCTCTTCTGTCCAATATCATACTTGGAGCATATCACTTCTAAATTTGCACTTAGAATGGTTAACTTATATGTTGATGCATATGTTCATCTTTTCAGATGTTGTTATCTTCTGTGCAGTGCATTATATGCTGAGAATAGGCGTTGACCTTTTGGATTTAATATGTAATAGTCATGTTGATTTCTTGGAGTGGTTGTATGTGATTTTATTTTTTATTGTTGGGGTTTCGGTACTATGATTCCGCCCGTTGTATATTTTTTATTCAAGTAATCTAATATGGGTGTGAGGGCCTAGCCCCCCCCTCCCAAAAAAAAAGCTTCGACTGGTTCCAGCCCTCTTTAAATATAGGGTAAATTACATAGTAGCTCCTCAGGTTTGAGCTCTATTGCAATCTTATACAACGTCTTTAAAACATTTCACTTTCATACCTCAAGTACTATTTTATTTCAATTTCATACAACCGTTAGATTTTCCATCCATGGATCTGTTAAATGCTGACGTGGCTGCTACATATATGACATGTGGTTGTCAAATGTCTGCCATGTGTCAAATAAAATAATTTTTTAATTTTTTTTAAAAAAACCTGAAATTGGAAGAAAAAAAAAAGAAGGGACCGAACCCAGAAGGAGGAAGAAGAAGAAGAGAAGAAGAAAGAGGAGGGAGGAGAAAGAAGAAGAAGAAGAAGAAAAAAAAAAAAAAAAAAAAAAAAAAAAGGGTCCGAACCCAGAAGGAGGAAGAAGAAGAACGAGGAGGAGGAGGAGGAGGAGGAGGAGAAGAAGATGCAGAAGAAGAAGAAAGGGATCGAACCCAGAAGAAAGAGAAAAAAAAGGTGGCAGATATGTTTTTATAAAAAAAAAATTAAAAAATTATTTTATTTGCCACGTGGCAGACATTTGGCAGCCACATGTCATATATGTGGCAGTCACGTCAACATTTAATAGATCCATGGATGGAAAATTTAACGGTTGTATGAAATTGAAATAAAATAGTACTTGAGGTATGAAAGTGAAATGTTTTAAAGATGTTGTATAAGATTGCAATAGAGTTCAAACCTGAAGGGCTACTATGTAATTTACCCTTAAATATATATTTTTTTATTTATGTTGTACTGGAAAAGACACATTTGATGCAGGCACCAAAAATCTTAGGACCAGCTTTGGTGGTCTAATATCCTAATAGATAGGCGTTAGGTTTCTACCCATGTGTTTCGAGTTCAAAACTCCTTCCATAATGTAATAGTTTTGAACTCTCTTCATAATAATAGAAAATTTCTTTTTAAAAAAATGTATGCAAAGTATTTGTGTAATTTTAAACTTGTAAGAAATGAAAATAGTAAATTGGGTCACTCATTAAAATTATTTCACATTGGATAAGTGTATCATTTTAATTTTTTTTATTTTTTATTATGAACGATATTTTACATTAATATATATATATATATGTATATCAAAGAGAGGGAAAAATGTTTAAACTCAAAACGTAATGAGTTAAAAAATAAACCCCATGATTAGAGCAATTCATCACCTGCAATTCTTGTCTTTCTAGTTCTAAGTAAATGTAAAATGTTTGTGTGAGGCAAGTAATCCTCTCAATAGTGGCAATTTTGGAAAGAACGATGTATTTGACCACATAGAATCTCCAAAATTTCAAAGACGATCACCGCACTTAACTTTTTATTTTCGACATTTATCATCGTATAATAAATTTTCGATACTAGTTCCACTAAAAATCTATTTTTTTTTCCCTGAAAAACAAGGAATAAAAAATGAGAGAAGAATAAGCCACTTCCCCTCCATTTTTTTTTTTGGCCGGTCACTCACTCTCCCCTAATCCTAGAGTTCGGTAGTTGACAAGTGTTCTTCTGCACATGTTCGGTACTTCAAGATTTACGTTTGTTTTGTCTCCACTTGCACCATCGCCATTTCTCAGAGAGCCTTCTTCTCTGCTTCTCTGGAATTTACCAGTGAAGGAAACCTGTTGAGAAACAGAAAGCTCTACCTTCTGGTTTGAGAGAGAGAGAGAGAGAGAGAGAGAGAGAGAGAGAGATGCTCTGCACCGGCAGACTTTTGGACGTGTCTTTCCCCGTAAATCGGTGCAGTCCGTACAAACTGCATAGCGCCGGCTGCTCCAAATTCAGCTACCCAAGAAGCCCCATATCAACAAGCAGCTCCAGATGGCGGTCCCTGGCCATGGCTTCGGAACCCGACTCCTCCTCTTTCGCTCCGTCTGTCGATTCTGATCCCAATCCCGCCGCTGATACAAACCCCGCCGGGTACTCTCCCCCCCTTCTTTTCTCTCTAGGAAATTAACAGAAGGTGGAAATTTAAAGTTCCAAACTTTGGATTGTTACTTTGCACTGTGAAATGTATGAGATTGCAGACAGCTTATTAGTCCTTGAAAGTTTGTAACTTTATGTGCAAAACCCATGTGATTTATTTTTGCTCAACAGGAGGCACATCATATAAAGACTTTATAGTAAATATGCATCTGCCGTTGAAGTTGAGGTATGGCTCTATCTTGACATGAAGCTAAATAATGTTGATACTGTTTTGTTACCAGTTTCGTTTATTGATCTCCTATGCTTTCCAACTGCAGTCAAGTTGATCCCATCGTAGCGTCGTTCTCTGGAGGAGCAGTTGGAGTGATCTCAGCATTGATGGTAGTTGAAATAAACAATGTGAAACTGCAGGAGCATAAACGATGCAAATATTGTCTTGGAACTGGTGTGATAACGTCCTATGTTTCTCACTTTTAGTTGTATGTACTGTAGCTTTAAATATATACGATGGAGATGTTCGGATTGGTTTCATATGTCAACTAACCGGTGTATTTAATACTTGTGCAGGATATCTTGCTTGTGCTCGTTGCTCCAGCACTGGAACCCTTGTTCTTACAGAACCAGTATCAACAGTTGATGGTGGAAACCAGCCCCTATCACTGCCAAAGACTGAAAGATGTTCAAATTGCTCAGGAGCGGGAAAGGTTAGACGTATAATTATGTCCATTGAATGCTTATAGCTTACTAAATTTGTCTTGTTGCCTGCCGCGTAGATGTTCTTGTTTCATTGTATACATTGAGGAATAGCTGATTCACATGTTTGGTGACTGATACTTGTGTTTGTTGGGCACGCGAAAGACATTTCGGAAGAAAAAAATTGCCATGGAAATGAAGTTTAAGATAATTTTGTAGCAAATTTTTTAGGGGTGACTTCCAAATGGCAAGTATATCTAACATTGCGCCTTTAATGTGGCAGGTAATGTGCCCTACATGCCGTTGCACTGGAATGGCGATGGCAAGTGAACACGACCCTCGGATCGATCCCTTTGATTAGAAGCGCAACACCATCGTTAGTCGTTCCCTTCCACTTAGAACCTTCTTTCTCTCTTTTGATGCAAATGCAATACATACATCCTCTCATAAGTCATGACATAAACAAGGAACTTCTGTGTATATCAACTGTTCAAGAATTTGACCAGACATCTGAATGTGATTCAAATATTTTCTTCCCTTCAAATTTGTTTTAAAACATCTTTCTGTTGAAGAATCAATTTCTTCCAAGAGATCGCCTTTATGCACGGAATCAAAACTGTTTTGTTACTCATCTCAACAGTTAACAAGGGAATTGTTATTAGCATTCACATAAGTTTGGAGAAATTGAGACAATACAGGAGGCTGAGACAATACCTGAGTCAATACCTTCGGCATAAAGTTCGACACCAACGAAGAAATGTCTTCTCATCCAATGCTCAGCGATACAGTCTCGGAATTTCACAATATAGTTAAATGGCTACATTATTGTTCAGAAAATTTACATATTTTGTGTGTTTTATTACCAATCCTACATTCGATACCATTGAATTTACTGGTAAAAATACATTTCTGTAACGATCCTCCGATGGTAGATCTTCGTCTTTCTTCTTCAACCACTTTCTTCAGGGAATTGCTGATGTCACCCAATGCCCAAGCTACCGAGATGTGAGGGCGCGGATCCTGTGATCACCAACACCCCCATGAAGTGATTTAGTTTTTTGAGCAATGAGTAGCATTCAGGCACAATCATTTGCTCCAATATATTGTCATATATTCAGTAAGTAATTTCGAGTTTGAAAAGCACGAAAAAGCTAACCTTGTAAAATTCAGGAAGATTGTGAAGCTTATACACCTCATTCACAGCTTGAATCTGCTTTGTTATCTGAAATCAATGGAAGTTGAAATATTTCAGACTTGTAGACAATGAAAGCTGATTCAACCGTGCATTAATACGAAAACAGGTACGCTTCTAGTAACCACGTTTCACTCCTCCAGGATATCAGAGTGGTCTGACGGGCCGCAAGGGGCGTGGAGGGTACGAGTGGTGTTGCAAGTCACGAGCAGAGTTGTTGGGTGGGTCATTGTTGGGATGTCGCCGATCTGTTTCACGTTTTAAATCCCACCGTTCCTAGTCTAGTTGAGGCAGTCTACACCAATCATTAGACAAAAAATCTAACCTATCCAGTTCAATCCTAACCTAACTAGCCTGAAATACCAATTCCAATCTTGTCCGGCCCGCCAAACGTGCCCCAAGTTTCATAGGCTTAAACTCACATGACAGGATTAGGAACATGATTTACGCAAGGATAACACATGTTAAAACCACGAGTATATCATGCATTGAAGACCAAAATCTAAGCTAATAAGCAAGCAAGATATTGATATTTCAAAATCCCATGACTTTCGGCAAGTACTTACTAAATCTTAAGCCCATATAACAACTGAAAACATTTAGAATTGCACCAAGAGAGAAAGCTAGCAATCATACCTCAGCTAACCCAGCAGCAATGACTTCGATCGACACAAAGGTCCGGGTCTGATCATCGTTAACAAAAACCTCCCACTTGCTAAAATCAATCCAATACCTGTTCCACAATAATAAAATGTGTTAAAAACCAAAAATGGACGAAAACTTTGCAGGCTTAAACAATTATGTCAAATAACAGAACTAAATTCGCAATGCACACAAGAGAATGTAAATGCAACCATACCGCCTCTGAATCTGAAGCTTCTGCCGCAGCATTGTCACCAAGGAATCAATCTGGTGCACCCGAATCGGAACAGTTCGTCCGAGACTTATATGGAACTCTCTGCTTAAAGCAACTTGTTCAAGCTTATGCTCGTCCTTACGCAGAATGTCAAGCGGGACGTCGACGTCAACGGCATGGAAACCAGGCACCAGAGAAGCTAGCTTGTTCAAAAACAAGGCCATCTCTTTCCTTGATGCTGATGGTATATAAACTGGAAGCACACAATTAAACAAGCAAAATCTAAGTGCAAAGCGATCGCATTTGCTTATGGAGCTGAAAATTTCGAGAATTTTGATTACCTGGGATGTATACATGTACTGCGTAGTTCCCTTCGACGTGAGGAAAGTTCCTAACTCTGCTCAGCTGGGCGCTTGCCGAGAAGTCCAGAAATCCTTCAGAGGCAAAACATCAAACACTTGGTGGGCAACTCGGAAAAAGCCATCACAACAGAAAGCTATAAGATAGAAAATTGATGGGAATCAGAGGTTACCGAAGGAATTGGGGCTGTCGAGAAGTGACAGAGGAGGTGCAGGCAGCGCAGGGGTCGGTTCTTGAGGGTTGTTGAGCTCCCGAGGTGGTGGTGGAGGTGGAGCCGGCGACTCGGAGTCTGAGCCCGACGACGAGTCTCCGTACGAGGCAATCAGGGCCTCCATTTCCCCCTCGCGCAAAATGCGAACCTGTACGTTGTGCTATTAACTTGGGCAAGAAGTAGAACTAGAAGACCGGAGATAATGGGCCTGACAATTGGGCCCACTAGGCCCAGGCCCAAGGATTTCGAACAGCGCGATTAGGAGGGAAAAAAACCAAAAGAAAAACGGACACATTTGGTCTTCTTCGCTCCTTCTTCTTCTTTCTAGGGTTGCCTTGTCAGGCCGTCAGGCCGAATCTTCCGTCGGAATCTTCGAAGCAATGTCCAAGGAAAACGTTCAGGCGTACGGTGGAGGGCTCACGGTGGAACAAAGAAACCGCATCTCTCGGAATTTCAGAGCCGCCAAGGCCCTCATTGATCGCAAACGCCCCCGCAACGACGCCGTTTCACCTGATCATCACCTCCCTCATACCAAGTAAGTCGTTCAGGAATCAAAGATTTCATCTTCTTACTATTTTTTTGGTGCTTGGCTGTTTTCTTGATTTAAATCAATTCAATTGTGTTTTTCAAATTCCAGAATTTGTGGCGGAAATGGAATCCAAACACCAGCTCAGCTCAATAGAGTTCAAAGAACTCCTCTTGCCGAGCTACCGATGAACACACCGCCTCCGATTTCCGCAAGCCGGTACAATTTAGCGCGTGGTGAATATGGCAGTTCTTCGTGTTCCGGGAGCTTAAGCATTAGCCGGATTGAATCAAGCGTGTCAAAATCGGATTCTTTCATAACTCCAATCAGACAACCGCATTTTCCGACTTCATTCAGTTCTTTCTCTGCGCCTGGAATTATCGGCGATGATGATTTCGATGAGAGTATTTTGCAGGAAATTGACGCTTTAATCGAGCAGAAACCGAGTGTGGACATTCAGCGTGATGATATTGGGAGTTGTGGTAGTGATGTTAGTGCCGCATCAGCGCCGCCTTTGAGTAGTGAAAACCAAAGAGATTCTGTTAACCATGGATTGCCTAACATGCCGGATGAGTATTCGAAGTATTTGCTTTCTCTCAACGAAAGGCAGCGGGAGGCAGCTTGCAGCGATATTTCAGTACCTTTGATGATTGTTGCCGGCCCTGGAAGTGGAAAGACTTCAACGATGGTTGGGCGCGTTCTAATGATGCTCAATGAGGTGTTGCCATTTTCCCTCTAACCTTTTCTTTCTTAATTGACTGTTTCTCTACATTTCTTGTTTATGATCGAAATCTTATTCGTTTTTTTTTTTTTTTTTTTTGGTGTGTTCTTAGGGCATTAGTGCGTCGAACATTCTAGCAATGACTTTCACTACAGCCGCAGCTTCCGAGATGAGAGATCGAATTGGATCCGTGACTGGGAAAGCAACGGCAAAACTACTAACAATCAGTACATTTCATTCATTTTCATTGCAACTTTGCCGATCACATGCTGAGAAGTAAGCTATTGATTCACCTCCCTTAATTTTGAACAGCATACATTTGGTGGTATAGCTGAGTCTGTTATGTTGGTTTATGTTGATATGTTGGCTTGTGTTTTAGACTCGAGCGTACACCAGAATTTTTGATATATGGACATGGGCAACAGAGAAGAGCAATCATTGAAGCTGTGCGGTTATCAGAAGATGAAAAGAGTAAAACGAATCTTAATGTTGCCATAGATGGGGAAGAGTCTAACGGCGTAACATCTCCACATCATTTTAAGGATGCATCAAAGAAATGGCTGAAGTTTGTGACACAGGTTAGTCATGAATACCAAATTTAGTGTTCAGATTATAGTGGATTAAGAACTCTAATCATTCGATTTAAAAAATATTAGCTACAATCAAGCTAGAATGACCAATACAAGGGTTCTTGTGTCTTACAATATATGGCATTAGGCAATAAATTTATTTATGTTTCAGGCAAAAGCTTCCGGAAAGACTCCCGCTGAATGCCGAAGAATGGATGATGTGACAGGAGTAAGCTCAGAACTAGAATTTCAGATATTATTTCAGTTCTCTGAAACTATTGCTTATGAGTTTTAGCTCTCAATCTGAATCAGGGTGAAATTCTCAGGAATTACAATGATATCTTGAAATCATGCAACGCTTTGGACTACCACGACTTAATTAGCTGCTCCGTGAAGCTGCTAAGTGATTTTCCTGAAGGTCTCTATCATATAAGTATATTTAATTGATTTATCTAGTTTTACAAGTAATGCTAAATGTTGATACATGGTGTTCTCTTAATTAGTGTTGAAGGAGTGCCAGGAGTCATGGAAAGCTATTGTAATAGACGAGTTTCAAGACACAAGTGCTATGCAATATAGTCTTTTGCAGATTCTTGCCTCTCATAACCACATAACCATTGTTGGTGATGATGATCAGGCATGTTGTTGATTTATTATGGAAATCCAATGTTATTGCTCCCTCTCTCCCTCTCTCTCTCTCTCAGCTCATTCTAATCCAGCCCTTATCTGTTCTAAATCAAATAACATATATCCTGCTGCAGTCCATTTTCAGTTTCAATGGGGCGGACATTTCTGGATTTGATTCTTTTCGTAAAGATTTTTCAAATTACAAAGAGGTTCGCTTCGCACTTGACTGCTATGTTATTTTATGTCAGTCTTTTTCATTGTACATAGTATAGAACAAATATATTGTATAATTACAGGAAAGTAAGTTTTATTTTATGGGGTTCTGTGGGATTTGACATAACTTTATGGTTCAGATTAGGCTTAATAAAAACTATCGGTCCACACGCTATATTGTGGAAGCTGCATCTTCTGTTATAAAAAACAATAAGAAGCGATGCCAACCAAAGAA